CTTATCATCTGCTACACAATCATCTTCCTTTATCGATTCAGTTCGGCAATTCTGCGTTCGTTTTTTCAGATTAATGAACTCTTTTTTCGCGCACTCCATTCATTTTGGAACTCCCCTACCAGAAGCAAGCTCTTCGAGGATGTTTTAAAAGCTTGTTTAAGACATTTGCGTGATATTGAATGTGAAGAGAAGAGAGCCAATGGGATGATTGCTCACAGTGACAGCGACATTAAACGAATGTGTTTTAGATTAGCAATGTCCACCATGTGCCTGATGGGGTTCGATGCATTGACACCGAAATTCAATGAAATATGTGCTCGACTTCATGCGATGCATTTCGATAGATTCGATTACGCAGCCTTTAAAGTGATGACACTTTTCGAAGACCAAGGTACATCCATTCTCAGATATTTTTCATTGTCTCCAAACTTCAGTGGTTTATTGTTTCGTCTCAATTGCATTCAGTTTTTTTTCCAATGGATTCAAATTTGTAGCTTGGAATTAATGTAGTTGATAAGCATTGCTGCTTATTGACTTTCCATTCCTGCCAGCTATACATGATATGCCTCATGTGTCATCAAATTTGAATGATCCTCATCATTTCACCTCGGATTGAGCCTGTGATAGTGTTGTTCCACATATAGCAAGCATCCGACTACTTTCAAATATATTACCTGAACTAGCTAATAGATGTGCATCAATTTCTGTTGACCTAATAAAGAGTCATTGTTGTTGTTATTGCTGGTATAATAGTAAAGATAACGCAATTTGAACGTTACCGAAAACATAACGAAAGGCGTCATCAAGCAAAATGACCGTCTTTACTGCAACGACTCATCCGATAGAGGGACAGATAAAAACCATTGCGCAATGCGTTGAGACACTAAATATAGTGTCGAAGGTGGATCATATCCATCATATTTATACTATAATATCACTGAATCGCATTTGATTAATCCTCTTTCCTGATTCTCGATCTGATGGGAAAATCTAGTGGAGTCAATTGGAGAAAGGGAAACATTTACTGTTGGTTTCCCTTGTGTTCAATGTTTTGAAGTATCGTTCATGATTGGGTCTGTAAGAAAACGGAAGTGCAAAATATCTTACATTTAAAAAAGTCAGAATTACTGGTTTCTGTTCTGACGAGATACGGATGTTCATGCGGAGACAACGTGTAATTGGTAATGGGTGTTCAATTGCGAAATATAACGATTGTATTAATTGGCGGATGGTGAAGAGCATTGAACTCGGAGTTCAGCGAAAAGAATTCGAAAAAAAATTGGAGCATTCATGAACGGAATTTTCGCTGTCAACATCGAAATAAAAATTTGATTTACAGGTGCGAGATGTGCTGTGAACAATCGTGCGCTAACATCTCACGTTCACGCTACAGTTTTATCATCATGGACAGCTTACAGATGCGTTGCAAATGCTCATGAACATCCGATGTATGAGGCTTATTCAGAACTGAAGTAAGATACAATACATCATTTATCTAACTTTGACTATGTTTTATAATTCAAATCAGTGTGGAGTTTGTAAGCTACGAAAAGTATATGTGTAGCTTCGCACTGCCAACAGTAACCAGTAATTATAGTCACGGTCAAGTGTATCAGCCACAAGTATTACGAATGTATTATAGAGTGTATCAGTTTTTTGATGTTCTCTAGTTAAGTGTCAGCAGCATCGGGAAGGATGTTTTGTGTAAGGCTGTAGGTCCACTTCAGATGACCTCTGTAATTAGTCATGATGCGCCGACCTTTTTTGCATTCCAAACCGGTAATTATCGGCTATATTGAGTAGTAGTTGAACGATCGCAAAACGTTGTGAACGTGACCCACGCGTTCCTCTTTATTCATCTTACTCGTCGTCATAAATGCTATTCTCACCAGCCACTTTCATGATGTATTGTAATTGTTGTGTTGTATAGAGTTTTGTGCCTCTATTGTATATTGCAAGAATGTATTTACATATGCATCAGTGCATATCCATAATCACTTTTATATCCTTTTATAGTTTAATTCGTTCGTCGATTTACTTCAATCTTCGAACGATCAACTTCCCCTCTTTCATTTCTTTTATACTACTGCTCCAACTCATACCCCTTCCAGTACAGTTCATATCATCGAAAACATTTTGCTTCAATGACCTTTCGATAGAAAATCCAATATTTTTCTGACCTAATTTGATTTATTTGCAAAGATATTTCAGAACTAATATCAAAAGTTATATGCAGCGAACAGTTAAAATCTTTGGATTAATATAATCATAGCTAGGCAAACTGGGTGAGCGTAAGATCATTCAGTGAGGCCCTACAAGTCTGAATCTTGCAAAATTGAACGATATTTTGAGAGGATTAGAGAGAATCAAATAGAGCGAGTATCTTATTACAGCGATGGTTACATCGGTGATTATTAAGATGTTTAGATGCAAAAAAAGGTGAGAAGAGATATTGAAGAATAATTAATACAACAAACGATATTATCGGTTAGATAAGCTTCTTGATCTCTTCCGATCGTCGCATCGAGAGGGTTTGCAGAGGGAGCACAATGAAAAGTCAATGATTTCAGCAAGACACTGCTTACTAGTTATTTGATGAAACGATTAATGTAAGTAAAAATGACTGTTTGCAGGATTTTGGCACGCCAAGCAGCTCATTTACTGAGCAAATATTCGACAGTTGGAATGGAGGAAAATCTACTGAAGGAGATGCTAGCTCGAGAAGATCTTCTGCAATATCCGCAATAGAAACTGCGATCTCGCTGAGTAATCGATCGGGTCAGGACAGAAGCGTCCTTCAACTAGCCTTAAATCATGATCGAGCGAGCTGTATCACGGTAGCCAAAAGCATCGATAATAATATTGGCACTGTAATCACTAAACTCCCTCCTAAAAACCATTCTAAATAATCTCAATATTGCCACCACCAATCCCGTCAGATTCATCAAACCGATATCCTCAAAACTCAAAAATGACCAATATAAGTCGGTTCTTGTCAACTTTTATGGCATCTGGATAATGTTAGCGTAAGAAATTCTTCTATTCAAGTACGAAACTCACATTCACGTACGAAATTCTTCTATTCACTAATTGAATTCATTGCAAATCCGTTCGAACTGTAAATTCCAAACTGTTTATTTTGTTTTCAATTTTTTGTTTGGCATGCGAAATGCCTGAATTTACCGGGTTGCGTTACCCTTGTTTTGTTGATTGGTAACGTTCGCCTTAAAGCGTTCTATCTCAGCGCGTAATTCTGCCTTTACACTTATTCGTGTCTTCATTCAGTAATTTTTCCGTCTTGCCTCGATCATTAGCACATACTGTTACATTCCATAATTGCATACAAGTTGTCCTTTTGTGTTTTTTTCACTTCGATTGGCTATGCGCAATCTTGCCACATTTACTTTTATCCATGTATTCGTGCTCCATTTCATTGTGTCTTGATCATTCAACATTCCTTATTTATTTTATCTGTGTCCAACTCATTTAATGTGTATAAACTTTTCTTGTATTTTCATTTCATTTGTTCTTCAATGTGATTGAATCGAACGTTTTCTTGAACTGAATACATGTTGTACATTCATAATGCGTTCATTAGTGACACTTTTCCAAGCATTTCTTTTCATCGCATCCAAGCGCACTGCATTCAATCACTGAATTCGGATTCAATCCACTCAGACTGTTTGAAAGCGAGTGCGACTTGATGATGAGTATTATGATGTTACATAGAGTGTATCATTTCACATTAAACGTCACTCATTAATTTTGTAATAAAAAGTAGTTCACGTTTGTTTTGCATATTCATGCTCTCGTTTCCATTTAAGCATATAAATAATGACAACAAACCAATTATTCGAGAAAACTTTTTTTTGTTAAGAAAACTGCATATTGAGCAAAGTGATGAAAAGCAACTGATGAACTCGAAAAAATAGAGAAGAGTTCGGCAAATTCGAGAACAAACGAACATGGATACATACGTAAATATGTATTCGATTGAACGGTTTGTGATCTATGAGGGACATAAAACGGTTGGATATATAAGACGGCCACACGAGAGACAAGAGGTTTTCGAAAGTTAATAAAAGAAAAAGAACAGAAAAAGCTCTGGATATGCGCAAACAAATACCGATTTACTCACTTTGTTGTTAATTCCGTTTCGAATCTTTTTTACTCGAAAGCTCATTGAATTCGGCAGCGTCACCTAATGCAAATTCTAGCGCAGACATGCGAACTATCTCTCAAAATGCAGTGCAAAATGGCAACTGTGCTACTCGTATGAAAAGCTATCAGTCATATTATTGCTGAGAGAAATGAGTATTTGCATCAGCAAAGAACACGAGCATTTATCAGTGAACACAAAGAGGACTATCAGGTCATACTGACTGAATGCACTGAATATTCACTATAAATAATGACACTGCGATCAATAGTTGCAAATGAAGCGTTGTCGGTTGGTTTAGTTGTCATTATTT